ATTTTTTTCCATTTTTAAAACAACTAAGTAAAGTGAGCGTGAGATTTAATAAACTCCCAAACACTTTGACCGATCCAAATTCTGTTTAAGGTGTCTCTAAAATCCTCCAAAAATATAAGCTACTTTAAAACTCGGATTTCAGCCCTTGATTATTTTACCCCTTGACTTCATCCCTACAAATTGCCAAAATCTTTGACTGATTTGCACCAAATTTTCTATAGTTACTCTCTGCCACCTCGCAGGAAACACACGCCACCCTATAACGAGGGCAACTCAAGCCTCTCCCTGAGTTCTTGGGCAACGTTGAGCATTCTTTGCTGATTTTAACATAAATATAAGTTTTAATCTAGCATCCGATCAACGAACAATAGTTTACAAACCTAGAAGCATACATCAGACAGAATTTTGCCTGTTCTAGACAATTGTAATCTGTATATTGATTAGAATTGAAATTATATTGTTAATATCAGTGCATTTGTGTGTTCATTGTTTAATTTATATACATTTATATATTATTCACAATTAAGTTATATAAATACTTACTTAAATTTCTTACTGAATATTAGGTTTTCAAGATCCCAGTGTGAAATCTATCACCCATAAACTTTACATCTCAAGAGATATCGATTACTCAGTGTAAAGTTATTGATTAGTTTTGTAGTGAAAACAATAATTAGAATCACTGCAAAGCTAGACTTTAATTAATTAAGTGTCACATTATCATCTAATAATGAGGATTTTTTGTTTGTTATCCACGTCTAGGCCGTTCGACCATTTCCTACGAAACTCGGCAGTTACATTCAAATACCTCTAACTTAGGTAACGTCGTACATATCATCCCAAAATATGGATTGGATCTTTGTATAACAATTAATTTCTGTTTAATTTTTATCCGCGTGGATTGGAGTAGTGTTTTACCCCTGTACATCCTACTTTTCCTGTTAGCAATAGAGTCGTGCCAGTTAAGTATCTAACTCGATGAAAATTTTTGTATTACGGTGCGAATCGGAAGTTCTGATATGATTAATAGTTTACCAGTATTAATTAGTAGTCGTTGACAGTCCTCTCTTCGGGAGGAGGTCAAATACTACTTTTTAACAAATTTACTTCAACTCCCTTCCTTTCTATCGGGCCCAGCGGTATGGTGGCATTCGAATAGGAAAATTACATTATACAAGGTTACCGGCAAGCACAAAATATGTTTTCTGTAGGTTTTCCAGGGAGCCGAGTCTAAATATTTGATCTATTTTTTGCAAAATTTGATTCGTTGCTAGATTACAATTTGATATTCAGCTGTGAATGAAACAGTTTGCTAGAGCTAACATTAGGTAAAAATACGATGTGTTATAAAATTTAAAATATATTTTCAATCGTAGTCTACTTGATCAATGAAATTGTGCCATTTCGTACCATCCGAGTATCGCAATAAACATAACAATGGTAAGGTAAAATAACCAAATTCTTTATACTCTATGGTTTTCGTTTTAATGTTTGTTATATACTATAATATAATATTTTATAGTATTTGATTTATATAACTACAAAGATTATCTTACGTAAGGGACCAAGGGTATATCGCACCAAGTGATCAATCTAACACATTTATAAAATTCTTTATTCCTTTACTTTAAATTAGTAACTTGGTGTGATAAACTTTTATGTAAGATAAGCTTTGTAAATATAAATCAAATACTATAATATAATAGTTCAGACAACAAACACATGT